AGTTTAATAACTTGATGTAAGGTAGACGGAACGACATCCATCTCGTGGATCCATGGTCTCCCGAGAATCATATTGTAAGCCATCTCCATCTCTACCACCTGAAACTTTGTATCTTTGATAACCCCTTCTGCAAATGTAGTAAGTGTTATCTCCCCTTTCGTCATAACGCTGGAATTGTCGAATCCAGACAAAGTATGCGCCTTTGGTACTAGTTTTTCTTCAACTTGCATCTCATGCAGTACTCTTAGCATAATAATGTTCACAGAACTCCTTGGATCAATCAAAACTTATTTCACATTAGTATCATGTACAATTAGAGATATTACCAGTGCATCGTTGTGTGGAGTTAACATATCATCCACATCTGCATCATCAAACGTAATGCTTTCTTCCTCTAAGACATGTTGCACCCGCTTCCCATGGGTAATTGTGACTTTGGAAACTTTATTGGCTGCTGTGTACATTACACCATTGATTTCTTCGCCCCCGCTTATAACATTAACGGTCCTTTTGGGAGAAGGAGGTTTAGGGGGCTCCTGACTGTTCTTCGTGTATTGTTGCTTATCTTTCTCACTGAATAATTCAGTGAGATACCCTTGCTTTAATAGATGATCAACTTCGCCTTGTAGCAATCTGCAGTCTACCGTTTTATGACCATGATCGTTTTGAAATTCGCACCAGTGATCAGAATTGCGCCTGTTTGGATTTGATCTCATTTTCTTTGGCCAACGCACCTTATCGCCCATGCCTCTTAACACCTCTACCAATTCTGAAGTACTAACATTGAAATTGTAACCGCCAAATCTTGCCTTCAAGTTCCTATCATTATCTCGAATTTCCCATGAGTTTCGATCATTCCCAAATCTCGATGACGAACCCGACTCTCTATTTCTTAATCTATGATCGTACCTTGAATTATCCTGCTTTGATCATGAGTCTTTTCCTGCTGGGCCTATATATGGTTCGTACCTATTTTTACCGGACCTTTTTTTCGTTTTCTGAACATCTCGAACTCACCTTCTCCTCTTTCTGAGATCGGGAGATAGTGTCTTCTTCTATCCTCAGCTTCGTGTTGTATCTGTTGTAAACGTCGTTCCAGGTTGTTGCTGGAAATTTACGCAGACTTTCCTTGAGCCGTCTCGTGACTTCTGAACTTTACTCATTCAAGTTACTGGCAAAAGCCATAGCTGCCCAATTATCTGGTATGCATGGTAACATCATTCTTTCACGCTGAAACCTATCAACAAATTCCCTAAGCAACTCTGAATCTCCTTGCTTGATTTTGAAAATATCCTCCATTCTCTTTTCAACTTTTTGAACTCCCGAATGTGCTTTGATAAAAGAATCTACAAGCTCAGCAAAAGAATTTATAGAATTTTCGGGTAAAAAGGAATACCATGTTAATGCACCCTTGGTGAGTGTTTCACCAAATTTTTTGACCAACACTGATTTAATTTCTTGTTTGGTTAAATTGTTTCCCTTCACACCAGTTGTGAATGCAGTCATGTGGTCTCGTGGATCAGTTGTGCCATCATACTTTGGAATATCAGGTATTTTGAACTTCTTCGGGATTGGCACCGGAGCTGCACTAGGCTTCCATGGTTGTTGTGAGTACTTATCCATGTCTATTCCTTTGATTACAGGTGGTACTCCATGTATTTGCTCTATATGGTCGCTTTGCTCCTTGAGCTGCTTCTGCAAGGTTAGAACTAAACTTTGTAAATCAGAATTAACTATGTTACCTGGCTCGCCATCGCGAGACTCGCTTGGAGTTCCACTAGTGCCTCAGTTAACGAGCCTGGAACGTGGGTTTTCCAAAGTATTCTGATTCGGAGTTGGTGTTGGTGGTGCAATTGGCAATTGGCTGGTAAAAGCTTGGAGGGCATTGCTAACTTGTTGAGCAATGAGATTTTTTAAGGCACCATCAAGTGCTTGTTCGTTTGCAACCCTATTATTTGTTTCAGATCCATCTGGAGTTCCTTCTCGTGACTGACGTTGTGAATCACGCGGTGAGGGAAGTGGTGTCCTATCACCCGCATCATTCTCCTGATGTTGAGTATCTTGGTTGTTGTCGTTGTTATTCGACATGGTAAGTTTTGATGAAAGAATTGATTAAGAAAGTAAACGATTATCAGATTCCCGACAACGAAACCAATTTGTTTAACCAAAAATAGTAATTTCGGTCAAAGCTTTATTTTAGAAGAACTCGGGTTACTAATAATCAATATATAAAATGAATAAAAGAAATTGGTTTTTATAATAATTAAATGAACAGAAGAAAACAAAGTAAACCAATATATTTTGATGATATTTCGTGTCCTTACAAATGATCAATCTTCTTTTTTATATAGCTATTTCTAAGTGGTACGTTTCGTTTCTTCCATAATTGAGCCACTATTGTCAATTAATGGCATTTAATGACATTTATTGTAACGTTACAATAAGCAATCATATTTGATTCAATACAGATTCCTTAATGTTTCTGTATTTAATGCTCAATAGTTCGTATCTATTCCTTATTTTCTATCAGATTCATTCTCTTCCGTCATAAAGAGGTTCGAGCACCTGCCTTCCTTGCCTTTTATCTGAATGATTGTCCGTGCCTATTGAAGCTCGTGTCTCTTTGATTATTCTTCATCACTTGTTCCTCTTTAACTGGTCCATGTGTCATGACGTGTCATCTTATAATGAATTTCATATATAAACTTAATTTTTCTAAATAGAATGCCTACCGTAAGCTTCAATGATTTATTGAAAATACACCGTAGGTATAAGTAGAAGAGTAGGTTTCAATATTTTAGCATTTGTCTCATCAAAGTTGGAAAACCATCTAAATATATATAGGAGTATGGGTGTGTGGTCAGGGAGCAGTTGTAATTTCCATAGCACATCCATAGGTCCTCCAAGAATATAGCACGATGCCGTACGTCACGTGACATATCACGTGCCTCACCTAAGCAGCAAACTGCCTAGGGGCTGGGCTGGCTTCTTTCATTTCGAGACTGTTTTATGGCACAGTTAGCCCAATTCGGCACCGTAATGTTAGGTAAAACATCGTCTCTATTGTGTATGTTTGGCTGGGTGACGAATGCATCACCTTACAGTTACCGTATAGATTTAAATTGTATACATTGATGGTATATAAATATTAAAACGATCAAATAATTGATAGATATAATACTGTAGATTAACTAATAGATTCAATGTAGCCTCTATCTTTATTTCATTCACGGGCAGTTTTATAATTAATAAAATGATAAAATCTGCTATGAAAAATTAATCTACAATAATTGTGTTAAAATCCTTTAAATTATCAGCAGGGGTATCACTTAAATATATTATATTTATACTAGTAAGATCATAAATTGTTGCATGGAACATTTATATGATTATCAAAACAGAATAGTCGACTAAAAATATATACTTATAGGCGTTTGGACATAAAAATTATAATTTTTGAAGTAAAAAAATAGTATTTGGATTAAAATTAAAAAATATTATTAAAATTATGTTTGAATACCCATTTTACTTGAAAAAATATTATAATTTTGTGGGGGAGGGGGGAGGGGAACCACTCACAAAACTCATTTACGAAAAATTGAGGTTTTGATTTTTATGAACAAACGGGCCTTAGTACTTGGAAAGAAACTCTTTACAGATGAGCAAAACTTTTCAGTTTTCCGTAAGTTAATATATCTAAAAATAATTTTTGTGCCATTCTACACTTTTTTTGTGTGTGGTTTGGGGAGGGGGGTGGGGGGAGGGCGGAATTCTTGTCAAGTCAATTGAGTTGCCAATTTCAGTGTCTATAGTCTTATGAACCATGGACGTGGGTATACCAGTCTTTTTCAATAAGCATGAAGATGTCAGAGTTATTATGTTTAAGAGAGACAATGAAATGAAAAACTAAAAGTAGAGAGAGAAAGAATAAAAAATGAGTAATAAGCTGATTAGTCTGACACATCTAACACAACCCATTTGACACCAGTTGACAACCGCAACCCTCCACCTCCTGCCGGCAGCTCTCCGCCACCGCCGCCGTCTTCTCATCAACCCCTTCCTTCTTAAATATTCCTTAGTGGTCCACAAAAAATATAACACCTATGATCACCTATTACTAGCTAGACCCCTAGCTAACTACTTTCAAAGTGTTAATGACTTGTCCATTAATTCTTTCTCTCTCGAGTTTACTTTTGATGATAACAGTACAGTACGTAGAAGCCTATTGAGAAGCAAATTTTTTGTCCTTATTGCCAATTTCTTGTCTGCTCAGAGTTTGTTGAACTGAAAATTATGGCTTCTTTTTCTTTATTTGTTGAGACGAGATTAAACAGAGAAACAGAACATTAAACCTTACCTCCTTGGTCCCATCTCAGTATTCTTCTTACTTTAACTGAACATTAATATGTAGACACGCACGCGACTCTCTTCCGCCCCACCCCCCCAAACAAACCCCAAATTCTTATTTCTAACTTCTCTAAGCTAAAGTAAAGACCTATAAAGCTTATTTGCCAGACTTTGTCTTCGTGCAACGTCCGTACACAAAAGTCCATCTCTTCTACTCATATTTTTCATTATAGTCCTCCCTCAACTTTTTCTCTAGACTAATCTCAAGAGAACCAGAAGAAGCCAGGTGGTGGTTATTTGATTCTTTGCCTCATTCACAAGTGGTGTAATCTACCAAGATTGTGTTTGATTTTGTGGGATTTGTATTTGTATAGAGATATTTCATTTCTTCAATTTAAGTTGCTTATAGATGAGATGATCCCAAATGAAGCATAATCTTCTTGTTGACTAGAAGTTTGAGATTTAATTTCAATCATATCTCTAGGGTTGACACAGTTGAGCTTTTTGACTTGCATGCAGTTAATAAATCTCCCAACCAAAAAAAAATCTGATTTTTTATTCTGTAGTGAGATTAGGATTGAAGAAGTTATTTCAGAAAAACAGTATAAAACCTCTAGAAAGTTTCTTTTTCATCAGTACGGAAAAAGTTGGTAATGGAGCAAGGAAGATCTGGAGGAGAGAGTGATCGGAATCAGCAACGAAAAATGAAAATGCCGGAAAACCTCTCAGCGGTGGCACCACCGCCGCAGCCACCGCCGCAGAAATGCCCTCGTTGTGATTCAAACAACACTAAGTTTTGCTACTACAACAACTACAGTTTGACTCAGCCACGGTATTTCTGCAAGACCTGTAGGAGGTATTGGACTCAAGGTGGAACCCTAAGGAATGTCCCCGTCGGCGGTGGTCGCCGGAAAGGAAAATGCACGACGAGAGGCGGCGGCGGTTCATCTTCCTCATCAGCCGGTGAAAGCTCATCAAGATCTTCTCAAGGCGCTCAGCTTCCACCGGTAGTAGCCTTAAATATGACAACCAATTTGTCAGCAGCAGCTGCTTTTTTCTCAGGTAACAGTATTTCAAGATCTCAGCCTCTGAATTCATTGTATTCTAGCGGTGGATTTCTGCCTTCTTTAGCTGCCATGCAATCACAAGGTGTCAACCAACCCAGTAATAGCCCATTTGGTGGTACTAGTAATACAGTACTGTTGCAAGGTTTCCATAATCTTCCTAAGGAGCCACAACAAAGTGGTTTTTACCAAATGGTCAATAAAGAAAAGTCTAATGAATCATCCTTTTACCTATCTGATCAAACCCTGCAATTTCAACCTACAAGGCCTATGGGTTCTTGGACACAGAGGTTCATCAACAACAACATGGATTCTTGGAACAGCTCCGCCGGCAGCAGCAGCGGCAGCGGAGGAGCTACCAACAGCACCACCGCTGGTTCATCTCTCAGCCCTAATCAGTGGCCTGATATGCCGGGGTTCGGCCCATCTCCATGAGATTTTAGGGTTTCTTTGGCTTTTGGTTTTTTACATACTGAATTATTAGTGTTTCCATCATATTTTCTTGATTGAATATTGGGCTTTTGGGGGTACTGAGTTGATCAATCTTCATCCCAAGGAAATGAATGGATCGGAAGAAGTTTTTTAACGGTATGGTATTTAATTTTCTACGTTTTTATTTCTTGTAAAACGCAGAAAATATAATGTATGTGGAGACATGAACAAAAATAGGGTTGGCTTGCTAGCTAAAATTGTTGTATGATATTTACCTTCTTATAGAGAATTTGTGGATTGGGTTAGGTTTGTATTTTTGAAACTTTTGATCAAAAGTTAAATGTGTTTTGTATGTTAGCTTATCTTTTTCTCTTCTTTTTTGTTGCTTTAATTCAGCTTTATTAATGTGCTACACTATCAGTTAGTTAAAAAAGCAAAAAGAAACTTGCTTGTTCGCTTTGCTTATTTGTTATTTAGAGTTAATAGAGTGTGAAAAAGTCTACAAAAGATAACTACGATGTGTAAAGAGAGAATTTTATGCATGGAGAGATTGAGTGGTGATCTCATCTCTTGGCAAAAAGTGACAGACAAGAATTTCCCTTTCTTCTTCTTCTTCTTTTTGTGTATATATGCCCTCCTAATTCTAGACCTTCAATTTTTTTATTCTCTTACCCAAATCTCTATATCGAGACATGTGTAGCTTGTTCTCTCTAGACATCAAATGGATTTTTGGGAAGTGGAAATAGAATTTACATTAAGTGACTTTTGGGAAGTGCACTTAATTAGTTGAGAACTGAGATATTACATTAATTTGTGGTTTTAATGTGGCAATTGGCAAGTTTTAATTCCTAAGATCTTTAGCTGCGGCTATATTCTGCATAAATTTGGCATATTGGCATACCCTAGTTGAATAGTTAGGAGTAATTAGTATAGTTAACGAGTAGTACTGGTTTGACTGAATATTAAATTTGTACTCTTTTCATAATGGCATGATGAATTGAAAGCAACACGCACACATTCCCTTTTGAAAAGGCAAATAATCAAATGGATTTGGTAGATATGGGAGGAAGAGGGTGGGCATACCTGAACCAAAAATTAAAGTTGGACACGTCCGATATGCACCTTTGTTTAAATTTTTTATGTTGTCCTAAGTATAAATTAAGTTTAATTAATTAATATAGTTTGTTTCCTGGTACATGAATAAACAAACATAAAGTAAAATTCTTTTTCCCTGTGGAGGGGTTACGGTTTTCGAGCAAAGCATATCTTTTGTCTGCCATGGGTTTAGATCTTCCTCAGAGAATATTGGCAGGTTGGAAATGAAATCTCTTGGGTCTTAGACTTCCCTATGGGATGATCAATCTGTCTGTTGGGAGAATAACCCTCATTTTCCTAATTCTTTTAGTTTTACGATAGTTCTCTGACTGACCACTATGGTTTCTTCGTTCGAGGATGATTATACTTTGTCATTAGTTATTACTAATTTACTACTTCCTCTATTCTAAGTAAACTGTTTCAATTAATTTGAATCACAATATATATTTTTTATGTTAATTTGGCTATGGATGATTTTTTGTATATTTTTAAAATAAAAATTATATAGTTGCAAAACTATGTGAAAAGTAGGAGTCAACATAGCCTAAGATTCAATAAAAAAATTTAGAAATATTTTGGAAAATCATAATTCAAGAAAAACTTATTAACTCCTCAAATAGTTATACCTTAACAGAAAATGGGAAGGACGGAGTAATTTTTAATGTTATAAATTAGAGGTGATTTTATAGAAATACTCTACTATTCCCGGTTGCTATAAAGTAGGATGGTATTACAGTATTGCACTATCTGTTCAATTTGCTTTAACAAAAGAGTTCATATTATTGAAAGATATTTGTGGAAAACAAATTTGAAGAATATGATGTCTCCAAATAAAGTCGATGGGACTTGTTAGAATTGAAAGACTATTCTTGATTAGGTTTATAAAGGAACAATTAGTTCTGAATTGTTTCTGGAAACAAAATGTTCGATGTGGCATATTAATGTTGAAAAGTCAACAACATTGATTGCTACGAGTTCTAATGCAATTATAAATAAGACTGGTGTATTTGGCCGTTCTTTGCGCGGTTATAAAATTATTTTTCACGTGCAAAATTTATAAAATTAGAATGTAGTGATAATTCCTTTGAAATTATTTTTGTCATGGTTGTCATATAACTACTTCAAATAAAAAGTGCTTTCACTTTTTATGAATGTGTTTGCATATATAGATAGATGTTTATGTATATTAAAATATACTCTCTCTGTTTCATTTTATGTGAATCTATTACTATTTGAAAGTCCAATAAATTTATTTTTGAAAGCCCAATAAATTTATCTTTGAGCACATTTTTAGAAATACTTCATAAATATTATGAGTTATTAACTATTGTGATTTATAGTACTTTAGTTTCTGCATACGGAAATTTTATTTTTAAATTTATTGAAAATTCTATATCCAAATTCACAATAAAAATTAGTCAGTTTATCCCTCATACTCCGAAAAGGTTTACATTTTAACTTCTTTTTTATAGTTATTAGTACCTTTTATAATTTTTTCTTATTTTTTAAATAAAACATGAGGTAGTAAGAGAAAAAAGATAAATAAAGTAATTGAAACCTACCATATATGAAACAAACCATATGAAATATTCTTCTCAAATTAAGTTCCAATTTCGGCCCAAAATTCCCTTTCCTTCCCTTTTCTATGTTTTCTATTTCTCTTTCCTTTTCCATTTGTTTGTTCTTATTTTTCTTTGCCTCCCCTTAATCTCTTCTTAATTTTATGCAAAATTTCCAAAACTACAAAATCAAATAATTTGAATTAATAAAAGCTAATACCGGGATAAAATAATTGAAGTAAAAAAATGTTATTGTCGTAATAAAAAATAACTTGCCGCTAGAGAATTATCCTTTTGGTGATCATATTTATGGTCATGATATAAAAGAAAGAGGAGTTGTATACCTTTGGCTAAGAAACAATTTTGACTTCTGAGTGGGACTTTGCTCCATAGTTGTTGCAATCATATTTTAGTTGCTGCAACCGGAAAAGTGCAACTGAGAAATATAGTAGAAACGTTGATGACAACCCCGACAACACAAAATCATTGTATTTAAGTGAATCTGCATGAAAATAAAGATAAAGTAAAGTAAATTTTGTTGATTAATTAGAAGTTGTCGACCAAAATAAGTGAGAAAGAGTTTCACCTAATACAACCTTGTTAGCAATTTGTTCCAAACGATCTAGGAGGGAGGTGCATCTACCACCGAGATGGCAATGGACACCAGATAAATTACGTAACAAATTAAATAAGCAATCATAGTATGAGGATAAAAGTTTGAAACGATTGAAGAACACGTAGATGAATAGAATATTTAATAATTAAAGAAAACGATTATAAGAGAAATTTCGTAGAGAGATAACGAAAAGGTGGGAATTTAAATGAACAGTTTCTTCTAAGAATGAGGAAGGTCATGAAACGGTTGGAAACAGTCATGTTTGTATGTTTCGTTTTCAATGTCTTCTCCTTTAATGTACTAGTATTAGTACTCGTGCGATGCGCGGACACAAATTATGTTAAACTGTGATGTTGGTTATTTGAATCATGTGCAAATAACCTTAAAATATAAACCTCTCAGATAAAAATTATATAACATTAGATATTAATTATGAAGTAGGATATGAAATTATTGTTCAAATCTCGTAGTGCACAACCTATTTTGTTTTTTATTTGTAGAAACCTAACTACTTGATTTTAGTCTTGCACTTCGTTTTGCTGTCAGTATCAAAGAATACTAAACATATCATGTTGCGATCTGTCTTGTTTGAGCACATTAGATCATATTATTTTAACAAACTTCTTACTATCACTTTGTTTTTATCTAAAAGTTAAATATGTTTTATTCATCACATTATTTTTATGCAAATTCTTTTTTTTATTATTTTTTCTTATAGTTATTGTATTATTTATTATTTAAAATTATTTTACTATCATATAATTTTTTATTATCTTAATTAATATCTTTCTTATTATTCTTTTAATAGTCTTTAATAACTATAAATATTTTATTCTTGAAATTTGGTATATTTTTATGCATTCAATTTTTTTAATCATTTAAACTTGTTGTAATATTTTTAAATATAATTAAATTTTTTAATTTATTTATATTTAAATTAATTTAATGTATAAGTATCCTCACACTATCTCTATTGTTTTACTACATTCTCTTCCNGTACCTTATAAATAATTTTTATACTTTATTTATGATCTTATTTTGCTGCTTGAATTTATTTAATTTTTAAACTCAATATATCTTTAATAACTTAAGTAAATTTTAATTTTATTTTATATTTTAACTTACTCTAATGTTTAAATAGTCGTAGGTTATCTCAATTACGTCTTTCTATATTTTTTTTATTTTTTTCGTTTAGAATTTTTAATTAATTTTTACCTCCATATCTCTAGCTAATAAAAAAAATAATCTATGGGTGAATCAATATAGATATAAATATACTTATAAATATAAATTTAAATGTAGATATATAGATTAAATTTGTCTAAGATCTATTTAGATTAAGTATAAGATTCATTAACTACTTCCATTAATTATGTTTCCATTTATGATTCAAATTTTTAATGTTGTCTTTAAATTGCGAAGTGGCTTCTTTTTAGCTTGTCACTTGGCTTAACCACATGCTTCACTACTCTCCTTTTAATATAATATAGATTAGGAACTTTTTAAAATTTTAAACAAAATAAATAGTAAAATTGAAACAAAAAACCAAAAAAATGAGATAATAGATAAATACATTTTCTGGACTATGAGAGGTACCATGTCAGCACTCTTTGTCCCTCTTTTATATATCTATATAGATGTTTAAAAAGTTTTAAAATGTTACTTCTCTATTCCATTTTATCTAACTAGTTTTTGGAACGCGCGTGTGCCCCATCTCAATGAGTATAATTTTT